TGAGGCTTTGGTGTTCATGGAAAGGGATCAACAATGCGTGATCCCAGATAATGCCTATTTCCCCCACAGAGGGGGGTGTCTGATTTTCAATCCCAATGATCATGAGGAATATGGACATTTTCCCAAGAATAATGATATCTATTTGAACTTAATTCCTGCGGTTTCAAACGGGTTCAACTGTACCAATATTTCATAACCAAACAGCAAGTGCACATTAGTCATTACATGAATGAGCTGGCTCTAAGAGCCCTTTGATTTGGTTTGTTTCTTCTTCTGTGGCTCTTTGTCCGTAGCTGTTACTGCAAACGGTAAGTCTAGCGGACCCTAGCGGGAAATAATTTACAATAACACAGTCATTTGTATTACTTAATGCTCTACTTTTGTTGTAAAATCTTAACTTGAATATGCTGAACTATAAATATTTTGTTATTATGTTTGCAAAGATTCATGTTACATCAGTATCATTGTCTGGCATGATTCCTACCCAATTATGGCTGTTCCGAAAACGCGGAGTGCGGAGCGTGGAGTGTAAAAAAAAAAAAAATTGAAAAAAAAATTGAAAAAAATTTTTAAAAAGTTAAAAAAAAAGGAAATGAAAAAAAAATCAAAAGTAAATTAAAAGAATGATTAAATACATAAATAAACTAGAAGTAGAAATTTAAGAAATAAATTAATAATTATTAAAAGATTTACACATATACGTACACACGCACACTTATATCTCATCCAGTCAAAGTAATATATTCAACTCACGATTTTCCTAGTTAGCAATTCACTTTTAGGAAAAAAAGGAAAGAACAGTCCAGTTTTGACTATGTTTAGAAAATGTGGGAAATTACACCTTCGGTTTCCATGGAAAGCTGTGTTGCCTCGAAACAGACTCAAGCTTTGCTTTCCAAAAATGAACTTTCCGCGTGAATGAACCATTCAACAACTTGTCAACGGTGCGTCCTAAAGTTGTCGCCGTTTGATTGATGAAGTTGAAACTAAAACCTTGACAAAATTTTCAGCGCTGAAAAATAGTAAGATAAAAAAATGTATATTGATAAATAAAGAAACAAATACACAGGTAAAGTTGCACTTTGAGAAAACAATTTTTAAAAATAAAATATTTTCCCAACGCCGCTTGTCTCACCAATTCCACGGCAAAAAATTACTGATAAAGTAAGGTTGGTACACACTACTAGAAGGCTTTTAACGCAAAACAAAGAAAAAATATTCTAAGAGATGCTATTCATGTCCTGAAAATGTATAACTAAGGGCCTCTTCATATGAGACCGAAAACCGGGCCGGTACCGGGACGAAATTTGTGGTCTGTTCATATGGGAAATTTCAACTCGGTCGACCGGGATGAAATTCAAGAAACACAACCAAAATGGTGGAACATAAACTTGTAACGTTCGTGACTGTCGTAGCTTTGTGGACTCTTGCAACTTTACCAATAAACCTAATTCGCATACTGCTAAAGTGGAAATACATACAAGACAAAAATTATGCCATTTTGGCCGCTATGTTGCGAAAGCGAAACTAATTTGTCTAAAAAGTTCCGTCCCGGTCACTGGGCTGGAGTGTTCGTATGGGAAATTTTCATCCCGGTGACCGAGATCCCGGTCTCAAAAACCGACATCTCGGTTACCGGGCCAGCCAAGCTTCTCATATGAACATTGACTTCCCGAAGGCCTTTGATAGTTTGGAACGTAATTTTCTTCAAAGATGTCTAGAATCATTTAATTTTGGTCCAAATGTTATTCGTTGGGTAATGACTTTTTATAAAAATATACGAAGCTGCGTTATTAATAATGGCATCACCTCTAATTACTTCACAATTCCACGAGGAGTTAGGCAAGGAGTTCCACTTTTTCCATATTAGGTGATTGAGAACGCATTAATATCTTTCGTTTATCTTGTGCATCTTAAGTTAACACTGAAGGAAAACCTTACAATGGCGACGAGGATGGGATCGCGGTAATTGCAGACGAAAATCTTCGCATTTGAAGCGCTGAACCAACCAAGAAAACACATCATCAAAATCGACTTTGTTTTCGATGTCTTCAGATGAATCGGATCCTCCATCGACCTCGGGACCTTCATAGTCTTTAGGAACCCCTACCTACACTATGGCTACAGCGATCAACCTACCGACCTTTCCTGAGTTTGAGCTTCAACCGAGAGACACAGCATCTACCCGTTTTGAGAAGTATGTTAAGCGTTTGAACAACATGTTCACAGCGATGAGCATTACCCAAGCGTCCCGAAAGAAAGCATTATGTTAGAGAGGAAACCTGCGATGTGTTCGAAACTCCTACCGTACCAGAACCGAGCGAAGAGAGTGATGAATACAAAACTGCCGTCAAAGCATTCGCCGATTACTTCGAACCTCAGAAGTGTGTTGATCATCACTTGTACATCTTTCGTCAGGAATCGCAAAAGTCTGGTGAGAACATCACCGAGTTTTACACGCGTCTTCAACTGCTGGTACGCAAATGTGAGTTCGCCAATACCGAGTTGGAAATAAAGCGGCAAATAATTCAAGATACTTCATCAGTTCCCCTGAGACGCAAAGCCATCGAGCAAAACCTCAACCTGGAGGGCCTGCTTAAGGCTGCTCGCTCAATGGAGACCGCAGACGAGCAAACCAGCGAGACAGAGAAACAACAATCGCACGCAGTTGGCCATGGCATTAACAAGACAAGTGACGATCGAGAGGAGAGTTCCAGTGGTCCACCCAAGGTTGGCTCTCGCAACACTAAATGCGGTTTATCTGGTGGAAGTTATCCACACCAAGGAACTTGTCCTACTCAAAGCAAGAAGTGTGTGGTGAACTGTGGCAAATTAAATCACTTTTCTGAAGTCTGCCGCAGTAAACCCATCAATCGTTCGAAATCTACCCGTCCACGGAAACCTTCGAAAGGCAAGCACCGTGCCAGGCTTGTGGATAGTAAAGGTCCTTCTGATGACGAAGCTTTAACCCCGGCTACCGCTAAAAGTGATAGCAGCGAAGAATACACCTTCAATACTGGCGCACAGGAACCCCAAACAGCCAAACCCATCTTTCAGGTCAAGATAATGGACACACCGATCCGCATAATGGCAGACTCATAGGCGACGGTCAACATTTTGAGCAAGAAGGACTTTGATGGTCGAAAAGAGAAGCCCCAACTGACGAAGACAAATGTCAAAGTGTACCCGTATATGTCCAGTAAGCCACTAAACCTATGTGGCAAACTCAGAGTCAGTGCAGCTAGTGGTCACCTTTCATCAGAAGAGACATTCTGCGTGGTAGAGGGCTCTTCAGGATCCATTCTTAAATGGATAACATCACAAAAGTTGAATCTCATCAAAGCTGTAAGCACAGTTGAACAACCTCCTGCGAACCTGCCACCTGGTGTGCCACACTTCCTCGAGGACTTTCCCCGTTTTCTTAATGGTATGGGTGAATACAAAGGTGAACCAGTTCGCATACACGTAGATGAATCTGTAGACCAGCGGCGCAGCCGTACCGCCGCATCCCGTTCCATGTGAGAAAGCAGGTAGAAGACAAGCTAAGACAACTGGAAAATGAGGACATCATTGAGTGAGCTGAGCGCCCGACGCCTTGGGTCTCGCCAATTGTAGTTGTGCCCAAACCATCAAAGCCGAATGAAATCAGAATCTGTGTTGACATGCGGTCCCTCAACTATGCTATCATCAGGGAGCGGCACGTCATTCCTACCACTGACGATGTGGTGTCAGACCTCAATGGGTGCAAAGTCTTTAGTAAGATTGATCTCAATCAAGGGTACCATCAGGTCCCGCTCCACTCTGATTCGAGACAATTCACGACGTTCTCCACTCACGTCGGGCTGTNACGTCATTCCTACCATTGACAATGTGGTGTCAGACCTCAATGGGTGCAAAGTCTTAAGTAAGATTGATCTTAATCAAGGGTACCACCAGATCCTGCTCCACTCTGATTCGAGACAATTCACGACGTTCTCCACTCACGTCGGGCTGTTTCGCTACAAGCGGCTGAACTTTGGTCTCTCGTGTGCTGCGGAAGGCTTCCAAAAGAAAGTGAGTGACACCATCAATGATATTCCCTGTGTTAAAAACATCAGCGATGACATCTATGTTGGTGGCACAGACAAGGACAATCATGACCAACATCTGAAACAAGTGTTCCATCGACTCCATGAGAATGGACGTACAATCAACCTACCCAAGTGTCAGTTCCGAGTTCCCACTATGCTGTTCTTTGGTCATGTGTTCTCCGAAAAGGGTGTGTCACCTCATCCGAAGAAGGTTGAGGCTCTACAGAATGTTGCTCCACCAACCAATGCCTCTGAAGTACGAAGCCTTCTTAGCTCTACTGCATTCTGCTCTCGGTTCATTAAGGACTTTGCATTAATCACCAGACCTCTTCGACAGCTGACCTGTGATGGAGCAAGGTGGCAATGGACGCAAGAGGAACAGTTATCCTTTGAACGCCTGAAAGCAGCGTTATCGACCAAGACCACTTTGAGATACTTCGACACAAAGAAACCTACTTCCATCTTCGTCGATTGTAGCCCTATTGGTCTGGGCGCCGTCGTTACCCAAGAGGAAGAGTCGAGCAAGGAAGTGACACCGTTGCACTATGCAAGTTGCCCGCTTACTCCCACTCGGGCAAGGTATCCCCAAATTGATCGTGAAGCTCTTTTAATTTACTGGGCAATCAAGTGCTTTCACCTGTTTGTGTATGGCAAAGATTTCAAGATCATCACTGACCATAAGCCCTTGGTGTCTTTGTTCAGCAACCCGTCTTCCAAACCATCTGCCAGGAAAGAACGCTGGCTCCTGGAGCTACAGCAATATCGTTTCACTGTGGAGTACCGCCCCGGTGCCTCCTACCCAGTCGACTACGCGCCGAGACACACAGTGGGAGATCCTGAATCTCACAGCTATGATGTAGAATCTGAAGAACACATTTCATTTGTCGCAAGGAATGCTGTACCGAAAGTAGTGACATTGTCTGAGATAGTCTGCTACAGCAAAGGATCCAATACTATAAGCTGTCATGTCTGCCGTCAAATCCGGCTGCTGGTACAAAGCCCCTCCTGATGTATCATTATCTGAACTGTCACGTTATGAGCAAGTGAAAGAGCAGTTAACATTTACAGACACTGTTTTGTCGAAATCTGATAATAATAATAATAATAATAATAAATAATAATAATAATAAACGAATCTTTTGACAGGATTAACCCATCAGTACTATAAAGTACTGTTATCAAA